AGAGCAATAAATTACCTACAAAACTGTTGTTTATTCATATTTTAGGTTGTTTCTGTCTCCGAGATATAAGCCGTTGAAGTTGAATTTTCTCGAAAAATGTATTGAAAGGGTGTCCCGTGGAGGAGTAACTCTAATAAGATTTTTGGTAGTTCTCAATGAGATCTACAAGTTTTGTATGTAAGGTTTTTCTCCCAGGTTCCTTGTTTTCCAGCTAGGATGCTTTGAAATTTAAAAAAATAAATAAAAATAAAGGCTGTTTTGAATTTTTTTGCCATGACGGTCTAAATTGGATCCAAAATATCTCCTAAATAGGTTCAGTTTATAAGCTTCCTAGATAGGAAGCTATGGTGATAGCCCGATTTTGACCATGTCAAAATTTCATTAGATCATCTTGACGTTTTGGATCATTTTAAGCTTTTTTGGCAAGGTGGCACATTTCCGTCTGTGTGTATGTATGTGTGTGTGTGTGTTGGCATTTTTCTGAGACAACGGCTCGATGGAATTTGATGAAATTTTGGAAATAGGTATAAGAAGACGTGTAGGGAAAAGTTACGCAGAGATATAGGAAAAAAAAAATCCTCTTCAAGATATGACGTTATTGATTTTTTTTTAAATGAGAACGCCATCTTTTTTTTCATTGATTGGTTAGAGCTCATTTTGCTTTATATAATACAAAAAAAAAAAAAAATAAAAAAAAAATAAAAAAAAATAAAAAAAAAAAAAAAAAACTGAAAAATCTCAATAGGCTTCACTGGGACATTTTTGAAATTGGAAAATTGAAAAATTGAAAAAAAATTATATTAAAACCTGAAAAAATGTCAAGATCTATTAAAATGAATTCATGGTTTGAAATGACAATAATTAATGACAATGACAATCATTAATTAGGTAGTTATTTGTCTAGGAAGCGTTATGTCAAAAATTTGACATCTGGTTTTTTTCTCGTTTTTTTTATTTTTTTATTCAAAATATATGTTTTTGCCTTGATATATGTATATGATATTACAATAAAAGTAACGTTCTACTATAAATTCTTATTAAAATTTGTGAAAATGGCCTCATCGCCGCTTGCCCCTACCATGCCTGAGGCGGAGCTCTAAGGATTTCTCCATGGAAATTTGCCCCCTCTGCTCAAGACAAAATCCTGGCTACTCCAATGGTGCTGCCGAAGCTGAATATAGCCGAGCTGCCGAAAATACACAAATTTTATTAATATGCAGGGACGATCAATGATCCAGCGTGGCGATCCTGCAGTGAAATTTTTATCTCTCAACTGGTCCCATTCAAGCCTATGTGTGTAGCATAGTAAAGTAGAATAATAAAGAGGCGAAATGACGAGAAAAAAGTGTCCCTACTTCCGCCATATTGTTAGTGCTCTTGTGTCTGAAAGTCTGTCACTTTTGTCATAGAAACGCGTCAGTAATGCATCAGGGCCGCATTTTCCATCTGGAGATGTTTTAAATGCGGAACATTTTTGAAGCGCATAATTTCTATTTTGGGTCTAGGAAGGATCTCCTAATTCAGTATGATGAAGTTTCTGTAGCAACTTTTTCCTTCTTGGTGTAATGTAGATTTTTATATTTTTAGATAGAAATTATAAAGAATCTATTTAGTCCGGTCCTGTTTAAGCAGCCATATTGTTGTCCTTAGCTACGCCCAACGACGTAGCTATAACTTTTTCATGGGGGGAGGGGTTTTAGAGCAGTGGCAGCTCGTGGTCTATGCTGGAAAGGGTTTCAATTTTAGACCAGGGGGGGTTTATTTGAAACGTGCAATTCAAATACGTCTGACTAAGTCGCAATTTGTAAAGGTGAAATTCAAAAAAATGCACATGTGGCTTATTTTTTTTTTTTTTTTTTAAACCATTTATTCACAAATTTTTTTTATAGTACATTCATATTACACATAATCTTAAATCAGTGTTTAAAACACTGTTCTCAAGAATATAATATTAATAACAAAATGGTGATGCTAAATCTAACTAAAGTTAACAAACATTTTTTTTTTTTTTTTTTTTAAATATTTCTATGAAAATAAATTTTATTATTAAGTTATATCAGTACCTAAGTGCATTTTGAGTTTCCTATGAAATTGACTAAAGTTTTGTAACTCTTTTAAATTAATAGGTAAATTATTATAACTCCTAGATGCAGAAAGCATGGGGGAGTGAAGACCAATATTTATTCTGCTATTACCAATATAAACATTGTTTTCTGATCTTGTGCCGTAAGTATGTATTTCATTCTGAAAAACTAGCCCTGAGTTGCATTTTTGTTGTTTATGTATAATTTTGTACATCAGTTTGCACTGCTCAAGCTGAAGTAACATTTCCATTTTGTACACATTTAGTTGTGTATATAAATATTCTGTGTTAGTTAGTATATTGTAATTAAAAAGAACCTTTAAAATTTTGTTTTGTTGAACTTGAATATCATTTAAATTGGTCAAACTGCATATGCCCCATATGGGAATTAGATATCTTAAATGGGAAAGAAAATATGAGTTGTATAAATTCATCTTTGTATTATATGTAAGATATTGTCGACATTTATATAAGATCGGTACCATTGCATTTAGTTTTTCAATTACGTGATTAATGTGGGGTTTCCAGAGCAAGAGATCGTCAATTAATAGTCCTAAATATTTAATATTTTCAACTTGTTCAAGAGAGACGTTGTTTATTTTAATCTCAATATTACCAACTATTTTATTTTTTTGTCTAAACACTAAATATTTTGTTTTATCTAAGTTAATTTTCAATTTATTTGAATACAACCATTCAAGGTAACGATCTAAAACGATTTGAAACTTTCGTCAACGTATTTTGCTAAATTCGTCGACGCAAGATTGCATTTGACATGCGTCACCCCTAGAGCTAGTGCATTTCCAAATTGCATGCGAAAGTTTCTTAAAAATTTCAGTTTAGTCGATAAAAAATATTCTTGGCCTCATGGAATTCGCAAATAATGTTAATTTAAATGCTCTAGAAAGGGTCAAATTGTATAACAATAACCGCAAAGGCTTCAAAAATCCAAGAATAGATGCATGCATTGACAATGCTTAGGTAATGACGGGGAATTAAAAAAAAAACTTTCGACTTTCAAAAGAATGTTTCGAGATTCCTTCCATGAAAAGGAGTTCGAAAATTTCCCCGACAAAAGGGCCGGATTTTTGTTCAAATATTCGACCGAGTGTTCTTTTTGTTTTTTGGTAACAAATCCGGACCTTCTCTTATTGGCACTTGCCCCCGCACTTTCCATCCTTTTTGCGGTATTGCCTACACTTATAGAAAGAATGAAGAATGAACTAAGATTATCAACAAAAAAAAACGAAAAACCTCCAACTAAACACGAAACTTTATGCACGGAAATAATCAAAAAAGTTGTTGACGGTAAACAATTTCAAATTTGACATTTCAATGCATCGTTCCGTTTGGTCATATGAAATTTTCTAACAATGTCATTGGTTAAAATCTTTTACAGGACACGTTGCCAAGTTGAGTAGTGCAAATTTAAAAAGTCACGAATTACAAAATGCACAAGATTTCAAATAAGCCGATCGTGAATTTTTAGAATTCGTCGACGCGCATATTTCGACCGACTGCGTCGCATGTGAAAGATTTGCACGGATTTCAAATAAACCCCCCCCAGACGATGAATAGGTAATGTAGATGTAGATGATCTTTATTGAAGTTCGCAGATACTGGTTCGCTATCATCAAAAATTAGTTAATTGGTTTGCAAGCATTGCTAGTCTTGACTGTGACATCCATAGGCGCCGGAATTTCAAAATTACTATGGGGGCTCAGGCTCCAAAAATTACCAGAAGTAGAATTGATTATACAGACAGGACTAGACTCATACTATTACTCACCATTGAGGTAGAATAAAAAAGGAGACGCTGTCATCATTTGAATAGTGCAATAGATAAGGGTATCGGTAGGCGTGGCCAAGGACGTATATAAGGGGGGGTTTTGGGGGTTCAAACCCCGCCCATTGAACTTAATAATTTATTTTTTTTAAAGAAAAATAAACGTTATTGGGCGTGGAACCCGAAAAAAATGTTTGCCTTCGGCCAGGGGCGGATGGGCTCAAGCGGGACACCGGGACGAATCCCGGTAGGCCGCAGGGCAAAATGGCCGGTGGCCAGTTCAGGAAAAAAATAAAATACAGCAACAAAAAAGCAAAAAACGGCAATAGAGAACTAAAATCATTTAAGGCGTAACGCGACAACACTCTGCCAATTCAACAGAAAGCGGTCTTTGTTTTTTTTTTTTATCGTTTTTCACCGCTAAATGAGAGATGGCGCCACGCAGTGAAATCTGTTGGTAAGTTCAGTGCGCACTGAGTGTATTCGTGTCCTTTTCTACTAGCAAGTAAGAGAAAGTGACGGAAATACATGGTTTTTGCACTAATTCCACCAATGGTTTTCGCCATTAGTCTCATGCGCGTCCATGTCATGTGCGCAGCCATTGAGCTCACCTTAAAGGGGGTGTGCGCCAAAAAAACAACTTCATCTCAAAAAAAAGAGAAAAAAAATCTAAGAATAACAGTGAAATCCGCACCCCTCTATGACAAATAATACCGCAGATATGGCTCTATGAAGGACCGCATCTCACCCTATGACGTCACGAAAGCTCAAGCGACGCACGAGAAAGTGGATTTAATTAAATTTACATAATATTTTTCCTGTGTTACCTGCAATAATCTAAACAAAAACCACTCACGCGTGCCGGGAACAATCAAATTAACAATGCAGAGCGCCGCTGGACGAAGTTTTCGTGACGTCACGAGAGCGTCGTCCACACTTTAAAGCGGTATATCTCAGCGATGGTTTATCGTAGAATAACGAGGTTTGAACAGTTATTCTTAGATTTTTTTACACTAAAACTTTAATTTTTGGCGCACACCCCCTTTAAGCTTATTTATTTGTTCGTTGTGTGGCCGTTTGTGTGTATTTAAAAATAGTGATCGTGCCTTGCGCTCCAATATTTTTTCGATAATGAATAAAACCAATAAAAGTAGTGCAGCTGCGAATAGTGCTAAACGTAAGGGCGGCGCTGAAAAATTGAGGCTGAAGAAAAAAAAACGGCTAGAGGAAGAAGCTAAAAAATGTTATACTTTAAACGAAATGTTGCAATTGAAACTAAAGGAGAATACCGTGAAAAACAATAAAGAAAACGACCAATGCGGCCAAGATGTAGCTGCCGGTCCTAGTGGATTAATTTCCCAATATCAAAACTTCCCAGAACAAGAAACTATTTTTATAGAGCAAGAGCAACCTAATGAAACACCGCCAGGTTTTAGTGGATTGGTCGCTCCCGCTCCAGCAACTGATATAGAGCAGGAAGCCACTGCAGATTTTGCAGAATATAATTTTTTCTCAAAACCCAATTTTGACGAACTACATTTATTTTTCAACTACCACCCAAAAAAACCAAATAAACCAAGTGAGGTACCCTTCAACATCCAAAAAGCATTTTACCATTCTAATGACTCCCCAAGGAAATGGCTAACTTTCTCTTCAAGCAAAAAAGCTCTATTTTGCAGTTTGCTTGGCATTCAGTCACATATCAAAGGAAAGTGCTTTTAAAAATGGCTTTAGAGAATGGAAACACGTTCATCAGCGTATATTTGAGCATGAGAATTCCAGTTTGCATAAAAATAGTTGTGAATCTTATTTCATGTACCAGAAAGAAAAAAATATAGACACATTAATTATTAGAGGGTACCATGATAAAAGAACCAGCGAGGTTATGAAAAACCGCCAAATTTTAGGTCGCGTGATCGATGTCATAAAAATTATCGGAAAACGGGGACTGGCCTATAGGTAAGTGAATTTCATCAAATCGGAAACTTTGATGTTTCTGATCACAATTTTTATTAATTTCCTATGGTTTTGTTTATTTTATTTATTTCTTATTCCTTTTTTAGGAGCCACCTTAATGAGGCCGCATATTCTTTGTCGGATGAGACTGTAGATCATGGAAATTTTCTAGAAATACCTAGTTTTGTTATTATCAAAGTATGACATTATTCTAAAAGGCCATTTGGACAAAATTATTGCCCAAAGTACAAAATATAAAGAAATGGGTGCAAGAAAAAGGCAAGGCAATTTTTTGACATTTCTTTCAAAATCAACACTGAATTATATCATAACCATAATAGCGTCGAGTATTAAAGAAGAAATCTGTAAAGAAATAAGCATTGCTGGAATGTTTTCTATTGAAGTAGATACTACCCAAGATATTTCTGTTACAGATCAATGCTCGTTAATAATTCGGTAAGTACAATACCTAAACTCTGTCTAACCAAAGTTGAACGTTGAAGGTCACTTACTAATCCTTGTAACCATATGATTCACACGTTCGGACCTATTTTGGTTTTGTAAAGACAGTGCGCGTGCAATAAAGACAGCAGCAAAAAGCAACGTCTGTGATATATTCGAGTAAGTGACCTTCAACGTTCAACTTTGGTTAGACAGAGTTTACCTACCTATTCCTGGATCTAATAATTATAATTGTTTCTTAGATATGTTTACAATGAAATCGTACATGAACGTTTTTGGCTGTGATACCGTGTCAAGATACCTCCGGACAGGGATTTTTCGAGATAATTACGAGTGTAATAGAAAAAAATGGCTTAAAAATGTCCAATTGCATCGCAGATTCAACAGATGGTGCCGCGAATATGCAAGGTGAATATAACGGATTTTCTACAAAACTAAAGGAAAAAAATAAAAATCATATTCATATTTGGTGTCACAGCCATGTTCTTAATTTAGTGATTGGAGATGTACTAAAAGCTAACATAAAAGTTGCTAAATTTTTTTAAACTGCTAAATTCAATAGCACAGTTTTTTAAGGAATCCTATAAAAGGATGCAAATATGGAAAAGTATTTCGCTTGATCCAAAGAAGAGAAGGCTTCAAAGCATTGGCGAGACAAGATGGTGGGCCAAAGAATTGGCTTTAACTAAAATATTTGGCAGTTCTAATGATGTTGAGTCTTGTCTCTATATTGATTTGATTGAAGCTTTGCAGTCAATTGAAATACATAAAAAAGTTTCAAGTGATTTGCGCGTTACGGCAAGCACTTTTAAAGAAGGACTTCTTAAATACGAGAACATTTTAATAGCGCATACTTTCATTTATTTATTTTCAATTACTGGACCTCTTTCGCCATACCTACAAACAGCAGGCATGGGCCTCCTAAAATGCATATCAATGGTGCAAAATGCTACTGAACAATTAGAAGGCCATCAAAGAAATCTGGACTTAATTAAACAAAACGCCGATCGTTTTATATCGTGGGGACAAAATGAGCTAATTGCCAGAAATATTGAAGCAGATATTGAAGATAGTTTTCCCGAGAAAAGGATACCAAGGGTAAAGAAATTTTTTAATGAGAAATCGAGAGATGAAAGGCCAAAGAACCTCGGCGAAGAATTCAAAGTGTCCATTTTCAATGTCGTAATGGACACTGCTGTTGAATCGATGAAAAAGAGATATGGAAAAAACATGGATGTTTGCAGAGATATGGCAATCCTTAGCCCACATAATTTTCAAAAAATTAGAGATTCGGGAGTACCAGACAATGCATTCAAATCACTGTCTGAGAAATTGTTGCCCTTCAATTCCCAAGCAACACCAGAGAGACTCGTTGAAGAATTATATAGTTTCGCCTGCAATTGGGATAGCTTCAAACTCACAATTAGTGATTTTTATAAACTTAGTCTCAATCTCTTAAATGATGAAGAGGAAGAAGAGGGTAATGAAGACGAAGAACACTGTATGATGCAAGCGACTCCCGCACCATCAAAACCAAAACGAAATTGCAATAGCTGCAAAAATTGTGTGGTATGCTGTTACTTGACAATAATGAATTATAATATGTATCAAGACGCATTTCAGACGTTAGCAATAGCTTACCAATATTTACTAACGCTTCCTATATCTCAGGTAGCATGTGAAAGATCTTTTTCAATTTTAAAATACATAAAAAATCGTTTAAGGAATTCTTTAACAGATGACAGGCTGGATTCATTTATGCTCATTAACATAGAAAAAGGTTTTTTAATAAAAATAGATAACGAAGAAATCATAAATAAATTAGCTGCAACCAGCCAATTACTTTCCAGATCATTAATTTATTGAATATGCTTTGACATTTTGTCTGTCTTTCTAATAACATCTAACAAATAGAACGATTTAAAAATCGAATTTTCAAACTGCTTCGAAAACGCGTGCTTGGAAAGTGACGTCACTTTCCGGAAAATGCGAATATGTCGAATTTCTCATTAGTAAATCATTACACAACTCACTACCAAGAAACTATTTTCGTCATTTACGACGTGTGAAAGTGGCCCATTTCTCAAAATAGCTATAAGTTCGAAATTTAAGATGTTCGTAAATAAATTTTTGAGTAATAAAAGTATGTATTTCTCTTCTCAAAAATAGACTAGTGGATACCCTATTTTTAAACACTTTTTCAAAGGAAAAATTTTTGGCTATCTTTGCCTCTAGTGTTATTCGCCTCCGCGGTGCCGCTTGAGCAAAACCCGTCCCGGGCCGCCCCAAAGTTGCCCATCCGCCCCTGCCTTCGGCAATATACTCCGGCGGCTATACCAGGTTTCTTTTCAATTCAGTACCGTTTACATAATTTGTACATGTCAAAATATTTATTTCTCCTTTATCGCGAATGGCTAACGAACCGAGAAATATTTTTTTAATTCAACATTTATAATAAAGTACGACGCACTAAATACACAGAAAATCGGTTTCGGTCAAAATGTCTGAATTTTTTATATGATGTAGTCCATGTTGCGCTTATAGTTTACGCGCAAAAAAAAAGGGTGGTACATCGAGTAGTTTTCGAGATATAGAGTGTCAAAGTAGCGCCATCAAGCCTATGCTTTAGCATACTCAGCACCTATTTTTATCAGTTAAGTTACCTATAACATTACAAAACTGAAAAAGAGTGACCCAAAGGGTTAAAAAATCTTCCAAAAAACTAAACCAAACTTTAATTTTCCCCTACCTCAAAAATAGGCCAGTGAACAAGAGTCAAATATTAATGTTAATGGTGTACGTAAAAATTGATATATTGAAAGTAGCTGTTTACGCTCACCACACTTCCGATAACAGAAGAAGTGACCAGTATATTGTTTCATCTGAACAAAAAAAACTTATTTTCTCCATTCATTTCTCACTTCTCAAAAGAAAAAAACATCCAATCCTTTCCCAAAAAAAAAAAACGGATTATATAATCGGAAAGATAGTTTTTTAGTGGCATTTCCCATATCACAGGGGCGAGGAAGCATTAAATATTTACTGGAGAAGCAAAAAATAGTCTTCTGTAAATTCAGTTTTAACGTGATAATACTGCACTGCTGCTGAACTTGTGCATATTATGGTGATTTTTATGACATAAGAAGATTCATCTTTTTTTTTCCAAGGAAAAGGTTCATACTTTCTTTTTCCATATGTGAATGGAACGTCAAAATATAAGTTTTATAGTTTGCATAGGTTGATGCATATTATGTCTCTATGACCACAGTCTATGACGTTACAAAAATAGAAGTAAGAAGTAACTTCAATCTTCTGCAAAAAATCTGCATAATTCTCCATACTTGGATAGCATATAACAAAATCGCACTGGTACTTAGTTAGAGAAACTATAGATCTTCAAAAAAATAGCTGGACTAAGTTCACCAACTTTTCCACCCCAGCTAGAGCCAAACAACATTTTATGAGAAGAGAAATATCTAAGATCTTGTTGGTACGTAGAAAAATCTACAAAAAATGATGATGAATCTTATTCTAAGCATATAGGGGAATGGTACTACAACCCCTGCGAACCCGTTGTTACACTTGCAATATAGTACAAAACAACATTAATCGTATGGCACGGATTGATGACGAAGAAAATGCTATTAAGAGAGGAATAGCTATTGCAAGACGAGACGAGAGGATTTTCCAGGACCCCTACATTTCCAGTGTAACGCTCTACCAACTGAGCCACCGAGACCTGTTTCATTTCTACCTTGTCGATTAAGTCTTTCAAATCCCAGTCGAGACAAGAAATTTTTTTATCAACTTTTAATTAATACGTCTGCATGCCACTAAAATTAACACTCTTTAAATTATATAACAGATGATAAAAACTCTAAAAAAATTGTATATATTTGTTTCTGCAAAAATGTGTGCTCGACATTTGCTATGCAACCTGCTTAATTCATCATGATTCTCATCGCATATAGCACACCCTATACTAGTTTTGGATCGTAAAACGTTTAACCGTAAACAGGTCGGATCAGTATCAACAATGTCAATTTCTTCTGCAACAAATCGGTTACAACTTATGCACATTCTCGTAAGATTATTCACAGGTAAAGGAACCATTTGAAAAAATCCTCTCGTCTTGCAATAGCTATTCCTCTCTTAATAGCATTTTCTTCATCATCAATCCGTGCCATACGATTAATGTTGTTTTCTACTGTATTGCAAGTGTAACAACAGGTTCGCAGGGGTTGTAGTACCATTCCCCTATATGCTTAGAATAAGATTCAACATCATTTTTTGTAGATTTTTCTACTTACCAACAAGATCTTAGATATTTCTCTTCTCATAAAATGTTGTTTGGCTCTAGCTGGGGTGGAATAGTTGGTGAACTTAGTCTAGCTATTTTTTTGAAGAGCTAGTTTCTCTAAGTACCAGTGCAATTTTGTTATTTGCTATCCAAGTATGGAGAATCATGCAGCTTTTTTGCAGAAGATTGAAGTTACTTCTAACTTCTATTTTTGTAACGTCATAGACTGTGGTCATAGAGACATAATATGCAGCAACCTGTGCAAACTATCAAACTTATATTTCGACGTTCCATTCACATATGGAAAAAGAAAATATGCACACACTCCTTGGAGAAAAAAAGATGAATCTTCTTATGTCATAAAAATCACCATAATATGCACAAGTTCAGCAGCAGTGCAGTATTATCAATAGTAATATAACTAGTGCAATGGAAATTATTGATAATTTTTGGGAAATTTGCCCGAATGCATTTTTAGTTGAAAAAGAGCACGAGTGCACGTAGTGCACGAGTGCCTTTTTCAGTTAAAAGCGCATGAGTGCAAATTTGTCGAAAATTATAAATATATTTCCATTGCACGAGTTATATTTAATGAGAGAATTTCATAAATCAAAAATTTAAATTTTTTGTCAAAAAATGTCAAAACACCAGTTTTCGCACCAGTTAGTATGCAATTATCTGATAATTTGCACTAGTGCAAATTATCGCGTCATTAGAGAAGTGAGAAATGAATGGAGAAAATAAGTTTTTTTTTTTTTTGTTCAGATGAAACAATATACTGGTCACTTCTTCTGTTATCGGAAGTGTGGTGAGCGTAAACAGCACTTTCAATATATCAATTTTTACGTACACCATTAACATTAATATTTGACTCTTGTTCGCTGGCCTATTTTTAAGGTAGGGGAAAATAAAAGTTTGGTTTAGTTTTTTTGGAGGATTTGTTAACCCTTTGGGTCAATCTTTTTCAGTTTTGTAATGTTATAGCTAACTTAACTGATAAAAATAGGTGCTGAGTATGCTGAAGCATAGGCTTGATGGCGCCACTTTGACACTCTATATCTCGAAAACTACTCGATGTACCCCCCTTTTTTTTGCGCGTAAACTAAGGGCAACATGGACTACATCATATAAAAAATTCAGACATTTTGACCGAAACCGATTTTCTGTGTATTTAGTGCATCGTACTTTGATTCAAATATAA